TGTGTGTGTGTGTGTGTGTGTGTGTGTATGTATGTATGTAATGGAATGCTATGCTTCCATCAGAAAGAACACCACCACCCTATTTGTTAGGAAATGGAAAGACTTGGAAAAAATCATATTACATGAAGTTACCCAGTCCCAAAGAAATTTAGGTCCCATGGTTTCCCTTATTTGCAATAATTAGTATACATATAAGATAATTTTATCAGATGAGCTGAAAAGCTCAAAAACCATGTACAAATGACCATAAAGATGATGCTAAGTGAAATGAATCCCAAGATATGGACACAAGAGGTCTGTCTTTATTGCTATTGTTTTAAATGTCCCATGTGATTTTATTTTTTTGTTGCTGTTTCCTTTATATGTTCTTTCCCCTATGGCATATCCCCTGTTGTCACTGTATTTGATTTTGATATCCTGCATCTTGTATATACATTTGTCTGATCTGGGGAGGGGAACAACAAAACGCTGAAACAAGGACACAGGATGACCCATTGCAACAAGGATTCCCACAGCACAGTATATTGGAAATGAACTTTATAACTTCAGGTGATGAGGGGGGAGGGGGGAGAGGGAAGGGATAGTGTGACAACAAGGAAAGGAAGGGGTAACACGTGTAGTGGGTGTGCTTGCCTGTTTAAATGAAGACACCTGAAGATGCTTATAAGAGAGAGGAGTGGTTAACGATACAGGTGAAGAGACAGGAGAGCAAGCAGAGAAGCGGACAGTCATCATTCAAGCCAAGTGTCAACTTTAGGAGGATAATCAGGTGATCCAGCCAAAACCCCAGAATGAGGCAAAGATCTGTCCTGCCTCTCCCCCTGAGCAGCCAAGGACAGCGCAAAAGTCCTTCAGAGCACAACAGAGCTGACTTAGCCATGCAAACTAGAAAAAACTTGTTACACACAACATTTCTCTACAAGAGAATGTACCAGAGAAACGGAAGACGTTGTCATGATGACAGGCGGGGCCTGCCCACGGGTTAAGTGACCTGTGAGGACAGGGTGGCCCTGTCTGCAGAGCACAGGTGCAGAGGCGCCAAGGTACAGGGGGTAAGGAATGCATCCGTGGCCTCCAGGGAACGGGGTCATATGTCACGTCTGACCTTCTTTACCAAGCTCCTGAAACAAGGGTAAGGTCTGCAGAGCACCTCAGCCCAGCATCCGTCAGCGTGAAGGGAAGAAGTAAGGTTTGTAAGGGCTATCTGTGAAAAGCGAAGTGAGAAGTCTGTGGCAGTGAAGCACAAAATCCAATTACAAACAAGCGCTTGGCAACCATTTATTGATCATTAAAATTA